CCCCCCCCCCCCGCCCCGTAGCCATCCTAATGGATGTGAGGTGGTACTGGATTTTGATTTTCATGTTTATTTCCCTAATGGTTAATGATGTTGAGCATCTTTTCTCATGCTTGTTGACCATTTGTATGTCCTCTTTGTAGAAATGGCTAATCAGGCTCTTCCCCCATTTTAATCAGATTGGGGTTTATTGTTGAGTTGTAGTTCTTCAAACTCTTGTCAGATACATGATTTGAAAGTATTTTCTCCCATTCTAAAGATTGCTTTTCACTTTGTTGATTGTGTTGTTTGCACAGACATTTAAAATTTTGATGGGGTCTAATTTATGTAATTTTTATTTTTGTTGCCTGTGCTTTTGGTGTCCTATCCAAGAAATCTGCCAAATCCAATGTCATGAAGCTTCTGTTATGTTTTCTTTTTTTATTAAAAAAAAATTTTTTTTTTTTTTTACTGTTTATTCATTTTTGAGAGACAGAGTGCAAGTAGGGTGGGGCAGAGAGAGAGGGAGACAGAATCCAAACCAGGCTCCAGGCTCTGAGCTGTCAGGACAGAGCCCAGTGCAGGGCTTGAACCCATGAACTGCAAGATCATGACCTGAACCAAAGTCGGACACTTAACCGACTGAGCCACGCAGGTGCCCCTGTCATGTTTTCTTATAAGTTCCAGTGTCTTGAAGCTTCTCTAGTGTTTTCTTACAGGTTTTATAGTTTTAGCTTTTACCTTTAGGTCTTTGATTCATTTGAGTTAATTTTGAGATAAGAGATTCAAAAAGGATCTAACTTCTTTATTTTTTGTGACTATCCAGTTTCCCAATAGTGTTTGTTGAGAAGACGGTCCTTTCCCAAGTGGATGGTCTTGGTACCTTTGTTGGTAATTTTTGGACTGTATATGTCAGGGTTTATTTTAGGCTCTGTTCTGTTGCATTGGTTTATATTTACGTTAGTACCACACTATTTTAATTACTGTAGTTTTATAGTAAGTTTTGAAATTAGAGATTGTTTTTTGGTTAGTCAGGGTCCCTTTATAGTCTCTCTGAATTTTAGGGTGGATTTTTCTACTTCTGCAAAAATGCTGTTGAGGTAGGGATTGCATTACATATGTAGCTCACTTTGGACATCTTAGCAATTATAAGTATTCCACTTCATGAACATGAGATGCCTTTCCATTTATTTGTATCTGTAATTTTTTTTCAGCAGTGTTTTGTAGTTTCAGTGTATAGGTCTTTTGCATTTTTGGTTAAGTATTCCTGGGTATTTTATTTTTTTGGATGCTTTTGTAATTGGAATTGTTTTCTTAATGTTTTTATGATTATTCATTGTTAGTAGATAGAAACACAACTGACTGTTGTGTGTTGATTTTGTATCCTGCAACTTTGCTCAGTTAGTTTATTCTAAGTATCTTTTTCTTTTTCTTTTTTTTTTTTCCCTGTGGAATCTTTAGGGTTTTCTACATATAAGACCAGGTCATTTGCAAACAGATAGTTTTACTTTTTCCTTATCAATTTGGATGTCTTCTTTCTTTTCTCTTGCTTACTTGGTTTGGCTAGCCCTTCCAGTTTTTTACTGAATAGAAGTGGTAAGAATAGGCATCCTTATCTTTTTCTTGATCTTAGAGAAAAAGCTTTCAGGCTTTGACCAGCTAAGTATGATATTAGCTGTGGCCTTTCCATATATGGCTTTTATTATGTTGTGGTAGTTTGTATTTGTTCCTGATTTATTATTTGTTTCCCTGTACTGTTAATTTTCATTTGCATGACTTGTTTTGTAAGTGGAAGTATGTACCTCTTAAAACCTTTCACTTGTTTTACCCATCTCCCTATTACCCTCCCCCCTTACATCTGCTTCTGTGTGTTTGTTTCCTGACTTGCTTCCCTTAGCATAATATCCTGTAGATTCATTCATGTTGTTGCAGTTGGCAAGATCTCATTCTGTTTTATGGCTGAGTAAGAAGTGTGTGTGTGTGTGTGTGTGTGTGTGTGTGTGTGTGTGTGTGTACACCCAGTAGTGGAATTACTGGATCATATGGTAATTCAATTTTTAACTTTTTGAAAAATCTCTGTACTATTTTCCACAGTGGTTGCACCAATTTACATTCCCACCAACAGTGTACCAGAGTTTTCTTTTCTCCACATCCTTGCTAACACTTGTTATCCCCTGGTTTTTTGATACTAGCATTCTGACTGGTGTGAAGTGATATCTCATTGTGGTTTTGTTTTGCATTTCCCTAATGATTAGTGATACTGAACATCTTTTCACTTATCTGTTGGCCTTGTATGTCTTTGGAAAAAATGTTCAGGTCTTCTGTCTATTTTTAATTGGATTATTTGGGGGTTTTTTGGTGTTGAATTGTACACGTTTTTTATATGCTTTGGATATTAACCCCTTATCAGATACTTAGTGTACAGATATCTTCTTCCATTCAGTAGGTTGCCTTTTCATTTTGTTGATTCTTTCTTTTGCTGTGCAAAAGCTTTGTATTTTGGTATAGTCCAAATAGTTTATTTTCGGTTTTGTTTCCCTTCTCTGAGGAGACATGTCCATAAATATGTTGCTAAGGCTGACATCCAAGAGATTACTTTCTAATGCTTTCTTCTAGGAATTTTATGGTTTCAGGTCTCACATTTAGGTCTTTAATCCATTTTGAATTTATTTTTGTGTATGGTATAAGAAAGTGGTCCAGTTTTCCCAGCACCATTTATTGAAGAGATTGTGTTTTCCCCCATATGTTCTTGCCTCCTTTGTCATGTAGATTAATTGACCATATAAGTGTGGATTTATTTCTGGGCTCTACTCTGTTCCATTGATCTGTGTGTCAGTTTTTGTGCCAGTACTATACTGTTTTGATTACTGTTGCTGTGTAAGGTATTTTGAAATTTGGAATTGGTAACTCTAGCTTTGTTCTTTCTCAAGATTGCTTTGGTTATTCAGGGTCTTTGTGGTTCCACATACATTTTACGATTATTTGCTCTAGTTCTGTGAAAAATGCTCTTGGAATTTTGATAGAGATTACATTGAATCTCTAGACTGCTTTGGGCAGTATGGACATTTTAACAATGTTTATTAAGTCTTGAATCCATTAGTATGGTATATCTTTCCATTCAATTTCTTTCATCAGTGTCTTAGTTTTTAGAGTGTAGGTCTTTCACCTCCTTGGTTAGATTTATTACTAGGTATTTTGTTGAGTGTATTTATCATGAAAAGGTATCAGATTTTTCAGTTGAGTTTTCTCCATTCAGATGATATGTGGTTTTTGTTTACTTCTGTGGTATATTACATTGATTGTAGTGTGTTGAATCATCAAGAATAAATTCCACTTCCTCATGTTGTAAAATCCTTCTAATGAGTTGTTGAATTCTGTTTGCTAGTATTTTGTTAAGGGTTTTGCATCTATATTCATCAGGGATATTCTGTAGTTTTCTTGTATTATATATTTGTCTGGCTTTGGTGTTGGGGTAATGCTGGCCTTCTAGAATGTTTTATATTTAATGAAATTATCAATCATGTTTTCACAAGAGGAAACATAGGAAATGGTTAGGAAAACATAGTAGGGGGCAGTCTCCCCACCCAGAAATGTTTAAGATGTTAAAACAACCTCCTCCTCCTCCTCCTCCTCCTCATCTTCTTTTGGGAAGGAGCTTGAGGAGGATTGGTGTAAATTCTTTAAGGGTTTGATAGAATTCACCTGTGAAGCCATCTGATTCTGGATTTTTCTTTATTAGAAGGTCCTTACTAGTTATAGGTCTGTTTAATATTATCTGTTTCTTCCTGATTTATATTTTAGGAATTAATCTGTTTCATGTAAGTTGTCTAATTTGTCAACGGAGTTGTTTATAGCATTGTTTTACAATCCTTTTTATTTCTGTGAAATCAGTTGTAATGTTCCCTTTCATTTCTGTTTTTAGTTATCTGGGTCTTCTTTTTTTTTTTTTTTT